TTTTTTTTTTTTTTTTAGACAGGCCTTTCCATGGGCAATTTTCCCAGGACGACCCCATTATTATTCCATGGAGACGTCTGCCCCCTTCGAGCCCTATGGGTGGTCTTTCTGAAGGCAAAAGGAAGAGGAAAAGAAAAGAAAAAGCTAAGAAAAAATCTGGTGATACACCCACAGCGACTGAACAACAATAAAATACACAAGCAAGTAAAATGAGACGAAGCAAAATAAAAGTACAACAGCACATTTTACAAGGATGCGGACCTCTGTTTTAGCCGATGAACCGTCTCTGCGTGTGTTTGTGTATGTGCATATCCACATGTGTCTTTTGCCTGATACAGTATTTGAAAAAAGAACACCAGTCTTATGCTGCAGAGGTCTTATTAAGAGGGCGGAAAAAGTATGAACATAGAATAATTTCCAGATTTATGTTTGTATTTCAGGCACAACTGTATGTGGCCAGTTTACTGTGTATTCTTGGTGTATTTGTACACCTTCCAATCATTTCTCTGTTTTGATTACCCACAGAAACAGTTTAAATTGACCCCTGCACTGATCTGCTTTGAATTTCTCCAGCCCATAAAATTCTGTCTTAAACCAATAAGACACATCCAGAGGAAACCCCTGCTAAATCACACGGAAAGACAAGCTGACTACAGGACTGTTTCCATGGAGGCTGCACCCTCAGCTGAAGAACTACTGAGTGAGCAAATGGGGAGCAAATGGAAGGCACATTTCCTTACATCCTAAGCTGCATTAATTATAGTATACATAAAATCATGACATAACTACATTAGCAATAGTATTTAGAGTCACCTCACTCCTGGAAAGTCATATTTATGTAGTATTACAGTCCTGTCTTGTCACTGTTTGATTTTGCTCACTGGAGTAGACTTAGGAAGTGAGACTTTGCCCCACAGCCATCCATCTTGCACTGGCCTGGGAAGGACATTGGCCTGTGCCAAGAGGCTGAGCTGGGCCAGCCTGTTGGAACCCTTGGTGAGTTCTGTGCCTTTGTCTGAGGATGTGGAAGAAACCTGGCACCGGCCTGAGGTCAGCGTTGCAAAATTATATTACCATAATCCCATTAAGTGTGTCTGAGGCCTCATGAGCTCCAGCTCAGCCTGAGAGGAAGGTAAGTGAGGGCTGGCAGTGGGTGGTTTGTACAACACAGTTAGTGAATAATATGAGAAATGCACTTTAGGCATTCATATTTAAGCCTTTGTGATATTTTTTGCCATTACACTCGATGCAAAGATTGATCATTAATAACTAATGTGTAGAGCTTGGTTGAAACATAACCAAAGCATATGTTTTATTCCAGTTTGTGGTAAACTGTTTTCCAAGACAGCCATCTTTATTATCCCTTATTGTTCAGAAAAGGATTCTCTCTCATAACAATTATTATAATTTTCCCCATCCGTGTTTACACTTGGTTCCAATTAAGACACTGAAAGAAAAGTTTTGGCTTTTGAGCAGACACAGATACAGTAGTTTATCTTTGCAGATTCGTTCTCTGTCCCTGGTAAATCTCCACAGAAGATATTCTTTTACAGTAAATATGTCCATTATGCACAGGTTGTTTGAGAGGAGACACATTAACATGTCTCCAAAACCAATACCATTCTCACAAGGCGTGAAAGCTGAATATAATCCAAACTATGGCAACAGTTGGCTGAGACATAACCATGGCTGCAACATACATAG